GAAAAAAGTTACATATATGATTTTTACATCACGGTGAGAAATATTCTCACCGTGTATGTATATGTAAAATCACACAAGAGTGTGACGTTTGAAAACGTTCGGTAACCGAATGAAAACAAAGATGGTGATCATTCAAGGACGTATCACAATGATCATCTGTTGTTCGGTAAACAAGGTCACCAAGCTCCTCTTCCAATTTGTAATGAACCTTTCCCTCCGCTTTGAGTCGTAATAAAATAAATCCAATCATCCTCATTCAATGATGGATCGTACTCAGGCTCTTCAGCGCTGGAGAAATCGACGCCGCCAAATATTTTATTTCCATCATCTACTCCTGATCCATTCTGCTAGATTCTACCACAACACATTCTTGAAGCCGTCGATAATTAAACATCCAAGGATCAGATCAATCCTTTCAGGTCAAATGTGGATTGACGAGTTACTAAATGGCCACGATAAAGTCTTCTATGAGAATATGGGAATGAAGAAGCATATCTTTGTTGAATTAAGAGGAAGGCTTGAGACTTCTGGATCACTTGCTGATTCCAGATATATCACTAGCACAGAGCAATTAGCTCTTTTACTTTACTTCCTCATCACCGGGCTATCGAATGCAAAGCTTAACCAGCGCTTTCAAAGGTCCGCTGATACGGTTTCGAAGTAAATCTTTCCTACCTATTAAATCATTCGTTTTAAAGACTGATGATGGTGTGTTTTTAGGATTATAAACAACTTAACAAAAGATATCACCACAAATACACCGTTAATCCAATCCTACATTTCTCTCCCTCAACAAGATACACCACTTTCCGAAAATATACGTAACAATCCCGACTGGTATCCTTATTTCAAGAACTGTGTTGGCGCTGTTGATGGAACCCATATGCCGGTTCATGTATCGCCACAAGACGCTAAGCCATATTTTAATTGAAAAGGGAACATCTCCCAGAATGTGCTCACAGCGTGTGATTTCAGCCTGTGTTTTACCTACATTCTAGCCGGTTGGGAAGGTAGTGTTGCGGACAGCAAGCTGTGGGATGATGCTCGAGAAACCAACTTCAGCATTCCTAATGGGAAATACGTACTTGGAGATGCAGGTTTTGCACTAAGTTTAACATGTCAAACCCCTTTTAGAGGGGTTCGATATCATCTCCGAGAGTTTTCTGGGGATAACTCTGAGTACGCCCTCTCAAGATGGACTTTTCATTTGTCTTCAACTTATATTTCATTGTTCTGTAGGCCTCGAACGTATCAAGAACTCTATAACAAGAGACATGCGGCGTTAAGAAACTATATCGAAAGGATCTTTGGGGTAACAAAGAAGAGATTCAAGGTTATGGAGGAAGGCTCACATTATCCGATACTCATTCAAACTCGTTTAGTGATCTTGATGGCGTTCATACACAACTTCATCAGGAAGGAAGATAGTGACGATGATCGATTTCGGGGGGAATATGATGAGAATTACCAACCTCAAGTAAATCGTGAAG